CAGAAATAGGGCCAGAACGGGTGTCACTAATGAATGGCCATTTTAGTAATGAACTTTCAGCCTGAAGGTGGCGTCGTCTGTACACTGCAGCTTGGCCTTTCCCACCTTGTTCTGTCTGTGAGGAACACTCTTGTTTCTTCCATCCTTTTTACACATATTCCATTTATTCTCTTTGTCATGTCTTGCACTACACTACCTATACTTAACATCTTAATCCTGCCTATTTCACAGGCTACTTCTTTGCCCATTATACTTAACACGTGAGTTTCATATATTCTTTCTTTATCTATCCCTTAGGACAGAATTTAATATCCTCATAATACAGCAAGCAAACATTACAAATATACATTAAACATTTTGGCTTAAAATATTTTAAAAATTATCCAGGAGAAGATAGAGTAAATGATATTGTATGCAATGGAAGACTGGTTGTTAAGAATGGGAAGACAGATCTTCATTGACAAAAAGATATCCACTTTATATTACTGAGTAAGTAGGGTTCAAAAACATTATTATAGGCTGCACATGGTGGCTCACGCCTGTAATCCTAGCACTTTGGGAGGCCAAGGTGGGCAGATAACTTGAGGTCAGGAGTTCGAGACCAGCCTGGCCAACATGGTGAAATCCTGTCTCTACTAAACATACAAAAATTAACCAGGCATAGTGGCAGGTGCCTGTAATCCCAGCTGCTCCAGAGGCTGAGGCAGGAGAATCACTTGAACCCGGGAGACAGAGAGTGCAGTAAGTCAAGATCATGCCACTGCACTCCAGTCTGGGCGACAGAGCGAGACTCAGTCTCAAAAACAAAACAAAACAAAATTATTGGCCAGGTGCAGTGGCTCACCCCTATAATCCCAGCACTTTGGGAGGCTGAGGCTGAGGTCAAGAGTTCGAGACCAGTCTGGCCAACATGGCGAAACCCCGTCTCTACTGAAAATACAAAAATTAGCCGGGCATGATGGCGCATGCCTGAAATCCCAGCACTCAGGAGGCTGAATGAAGCAAGAGAATCTCTTGAACCCAGGAGGCGGAGGTTGCAGTGAGCCGAGATTGCACCACTGCGCTCCATCCTGGGCAACAAGAGTGAGACTTCATCTCCAAAAAAAAAAAAAAATTATTATAGTATTTGTTTATAGTTTTCACAGAAATGTGTAAACATTTCTGAAATACATATCTGTTTGTTACATTTCTATATGTGTACACAGAAATGTCTAGAAGTATCTTCTCCAAAATATTAACAATAATTTTCTCTGAGTTTGGGATGTGGGGTTATTTTTGCTTGCTTCTACTCTTTTTTTGTTGTTGTTGTGTGTATTATCATGGGTGAGGATGTTTGGGGGGATATTACAAGAAGTTTATAATCTAAAGAAAAGACAAGTCACTTACGATTTTAAATTTTTTTGACCAAGCACAGTGGCTCACACCTGTAATCCCAGCACTTTTGGGAGGCCAAGATCTTTTGGGAAGATTACTTAAGCTAGGAGTTCAAGACCAGCCTGGACAACATAGTGAGACCTTGTTTCTATTTTTAAAAACGAGAATTTTAAAAAGAAAAAACTATCATATTGCCAGCATTGTGCTCTGGGAGGCTTTTATTTGTAATCTAAGGAAAAATCAATTGGTAAGAACATCACCTTTGAAGTCAGATAGACCCAGATCCATTCACTAGCTGTATACAGTTGGGAACTCAACCTGCCTTAGCTTCACCTTCCTAGTCTGTAGAACGAGGATGATAATAAGTACCTCAGAGGAGGTCAGAATATGTGCTAAGGGCTTAGCACAGTGCCAATATGACATTAGTGGCCTAGTAAATGTACTTCCACCTCCACATTGGATACAGTACTTAATTCTCTTCTGCCCTCAATTTCATTCCTGATGCTGTAAAGGGACCTACTAATCCCAGTGCTGGAAAATCCTAGGAGCTGCAGAGGACCCTCCAAAACAGGTGGGCTCATGGTGCCTTGATTACAGCAGCCGTCGGCCAACAAAGCTGATAAAGGTATCTGATTTCCCCGTTGTCTTCCATTGTAAAGTTGAAAGTATAATATTTCCTACTGGAACATTTTTTAGCCCCAAGACCTAATGAAATCATTATTTAAAAACTAAAACTTGGGGTTAGACTTGCAGTTTTTCTAAACTTCAGTGTGTAAAAGATCATCTAGAGCAATGGCTTTTGATTCTTTTCAGACCAAACATCACCTCTTTTATAACATCCATGTTACTATCTTGAAATTCACAGGCCCAGCGCGATGGCTTACGCCTGTAATCCCAGCATTTTGGGAGGCTGAGGTGGGCAGATTATGAGGTCAGGAGATGGAGACCATCCTGGCTAACACGGTGAAACCCCGTCTCTACTAAAAAAAAAATACAAAAAATTAGCCAGGCGTGTTGGCAGGCACCTGTAATCCCAGCTACCAGAGGCTGAGACAGGAGAATGTCGTGAATCCGGGAGGCAGAGCTTGCAGTGAGCCCAGATGGTGCCACTGCACTCCAGCCTGGCGACAGAGCGAGAGTCTGTCTCAAAAAAAAAAAAGAAAGAAAGAAGGAAATTCATAGATAATACACACCTTTTTAAATCTGCATGATTTCTTGACTTTGATATTTTTGACATTTGATTCTTGATATTTCATTATAACTAAATAATATATACAGTCGGCCCTCCATATCAATGCGTTCCACATCCTCAAAGTCAACTAACCACAAGTCAAAAATATTTGAGGAAAAAAAATGGATGGTTGTATCTGTACTATACAAATGCAGACTGTTTTTTATTCCCTAAACAATACAGTGTAGCAACTAATTACATAACATTTACATTGTATTAGGTATTACAAGTAATATAGAGATGATTTAATGCATACGAGAGGATGTGTGTAGGTTATATGCAAATGCTACACAATTTTATATAAGTGACTTGAACATTCATGGATTTTGGTATCTGAAGGGGTTCTGGAACCAAACGCCTATTGATACTGAGGGACATAGTGTAGTACTCAGATGCTTGCATATGTAGGTAGACTCCCATGAATGTGGCGGTTAGAAGTGTGTTGTGGCCAGGCATGGTGGCTCACACCTGTAATTCCAGCACTTTGGGGGGCCTAGGTGGGCAGATCAGTTGAGACCAGGAATTTGAGACCAACCTGGCCAACATGGAGAAACTCCATCTCTACTAAAAATACAAAAATTAGTCAGGCGTGTTGGCGCACACCTGTTATCCCAGCTATTCCAGAGGCTGAGGCACGAGAATGGCTTAAACCCAGGAGGTAGAGGTTGCAGTGAGCCAAGATCATGCCACTGCACTCCAGCCTGGGTAACAGAGCAAGATTCTGTCTCAAAAAATAAAAATAAAAAATAAAAAAAAAAAGAAGTGTGTTGTATTGGCAACCAAATATCATGAGCCACCTGGCCCTTGATGTGATTTTCCAAAATGGTGAATAACTTTTGGTAAAGTTCTTGACCAAAAAGGCTAATTTTCCTCTAGTTTACACAGTGGTTGAATTCCTGTAAAATTTAGTGTATATTAAGATCCTGCAGAAAATATTCTAAATACACAATTTGGAATTAAGCAGAGAGCTGTTTAATGTGGATTCCTCATCCCCTGACCTCCATCCTCACAGGTTTTGTTTCAAGGAATCTAGGATGGGGCACAGAATTTCTTGGCCATGATTCTGATTCAGGCCTCCTGTTTTCTAAAGGAACTGGGGGAGGGAGGGGTTGTGCTAAAAAGAGAACTTAAGATGGTAAACTAGAAATCAAAAACCGAGGTTGGTCATTTGATACAGAATCTAGAATACGAATGTCTGTTTCAGAAACAGTTCTACTTGTAATTGCCTGACTTAGTACAAATTCTCTGGGTCAGTTTTCCTCACCGACGAAAATGGGTTATTGTTACCTTCAGTATGGATGGGTGGAACTGTGGTTTCTGAGACCCTTTGAAGCTTGTTTGGTTTATGAAGACTATTAAAATTTCTGATATAAGGCAATGTATAAATGATATACATTCACCATGCAAACGATCATGAAGACGCTATTATTCGAGCTTTAGAAAAAGCTGATCACGGTGCCGTCACTTTCCCTTAAAACCCACTGTCTGAAACCAGAGAACATGCCAGAAAGAAATTTGGCCCACTAACCTCTCCCCTCACCAAACACTAAACAGACACCAGCTCAGAATCCGAAAACTTGACAGTCTGGCTCGTCTGCCCAAGGCCAGTAGTGTGGATTTGGACGACTCACTTTACTTTCAATGGGCTCGGTTTACTTAGATTTTCAGCTCCATCTGTTACTCATCTAACTGCTGCATTCCTCTTTGCTTCTTCTTCCCGCACCTGCCACCATCCTTTCTACCTCCCTAAAGACTTTGTCTCTGCGTTCCTACCGCTTCCCGCATTATGCGTTTCGCACTTTCTCATCTCAGATTTCGGACACCCGCACCCTGCCATCCCCTTGGCTTCTCCTCTTTGTTTAGGCATCCCCGGCAATCCTCCCGCAATGTCCTGGCTCCTCTCCAAGATCCAAAAAGGAAGGCTGCCATCCCCAGCCCCGCCGTGCACTCGCGCAACTCAGGCGCTGGCCCACACCGTGCGCTCCGGATCCCACACCTCCTCAAGTCCCGGTGACTCGCCCTCACCTACCCGCCCCTCTCTTAGCATCTCGTCCCCCACCCCCATTTCCACCCTCAGCTCGGAGACTCGGAAGCCGCGGGTCACTGTGCCCTGTCCCGCTCCGGAGGCTCTTATTTCTCCTTGGCCCGGGATGACCACCTCTGGCAGGGTCCGTCGCCACCGAGTCCGGGGCCGCGCTGCACCCACGTGTCCAAGAGCGCCGTGCCCGCCCAGCGCAAACCCCCCAAGGCCGGCTGCTCCTAGCCGCGGAAGCTCTCCTCTTGCACACGAAACCTGCACTGGCTGGGGAGCGGCAGACGGATCGCCAACGACACGTGCGGGGCGCCGGAGCCTTGCCGCAGGGTGCGGGTGCCCGCGGAGCCAACCAGCCAGAGAGCCAGCGGGAGAGGAGAAAGGGTGGGCCCGCGGGTGGGCGCGCGGTTGGGCCTGGGAGGCGGAGACCTTCGGGAAGCTGGGGCCACGCGGCGGTGCAGGCGACGGGACTGCAGTGCCACCTCTCCCCAGAAACCCACACGCTCGCACGCCCGCGCGCACGCACGTGCACACGGTGGGCAGGGAGAACACGAGCGAGAGTCTTTGAGTGCTGGGCGCGTTTTAGTGATGGCTTCTGCTCTCAAAAGCAAAATTAACCCGCCCGGGACTTGCCCGGGCTCCAAAGACGACGCCCGCGGTGGCACAGGCTGGAGAATGGACTGTGATCCCGAGATGCACGTGAAAATGTGCAAGAAGATCGCCCAGCTCACCAAGGTAAGGTGGGGCGCAGCGGGCCAGCGAGCTGCACGCCCGGGGCGCCGGAGCCGGGAGGGAGAGAGGGTGCCCCTCCCGGGAGGCTCGGGCCGAATCCAGACAGAAACTTTGTCTCGGAGGCCAACCAGGAAGGGAAGCGGTCCTAAATCTGGGTGACTTGACCTTCTAGAGGCACCATCCTAAAGCAGCAGAGAAAGAGGGTCCTTGCCAAGGAAACTCCCACAGCCTGCTTGCTGAGCAGGTGGTCTGTGCCTTTGAATCGTGTGTGTGTGTGTGTGTGTGTGTGTGTGTGTGTCCGCCAGCTTTGCTCAAGTGCCTAGAATGTTGTGATTTCATTCAACTGCCATACTTTACAGCTTGGGGAGGTCATGTGGGCTCTATTTAAACACTTGATCCGTGTATTCCTTCATTCAACAAATATTTGCGTCATTCTTTGAGTGCCAGCAGCTTGCGTGGCACCGTACTAAACCTGGAATGCAGCCTAGGGGACTTACTATCAAACTGGGTGCAGACGTGTGTAGGAGCATAAATGGAGAAGAGCACGATTCACCAAATAATTATGGGATTAGGAAGGACCTTGGGAGGTCGGTCAGCCAACCCACCTCCCTACCTCCTGCAGAGCCCTGATTGAACCTTCCTAGACTATGTCTTTTTCAAGAAGACCAGCAAAAAGATGCCACCAGTGCTCTTTGTTAACCTTCTGCAGCTCCCCAGTTAGGAGCTCCTTGTCACAGACTCCCCTCTGTGCCTTGTCTAGATGGAGAACAACATCCCTCACTGTCTCCCATACAAGGTTTCAAGTGGATGAATTTAGTTGTTTGCTTTGGGGTTTCCTTTTGGTCTCAAAGTACACTCCTGGTGCCGTGCCCGCCAGGGAAAGGTCAGGTCCAGGTCTGTCCTGTGGCATCTGGAACATGCTCTCTTTCCTCACCGTCTCTCTCTCACTTCCCACACATTTTTTGTGGGATCACAGACATTCCCCTCCCGCTGTCCGGCCAACCTCACTATTTTGCCAGGACGAACAGAGTACAGAGTCTTGGAATTGAACACTAGCTGCCTTCTCCCACCTGTGTCATTAACTTCACATTCTTCGCACATGAGCCTGTCTCCAAAGAGGGCTCTCTTTGGTCAAGGGATGAAAAAAGAGATTGGAGATAGCCCTTAGAGTCCTTGGCATATATAACCGGTGCCATTGATCTAACCTACATTCATCTAAATAGTGACATCAACCAAAACATGTATTTATTCAAGTACCTGAAAAGGCACTTGGCACAGTGCAAGGCATCTTCCCTATCTTCAAAGAATCTAAAATAGTTTTAGAGAAACAAGATTTGAAACATTGAGTGAAAGCTAGAAGACTATGTCTTGGGTGCTAAATTGGGTGCTTCCAATTACGAGTTCTATAGAAGTGGAAACAAAGGACAAATCAGTACGGAAGGAACTGTGAGGGGAGATTTCATAGACAAGATGATCCTCGAATTCAGTGTGGACTTATGGAATTCCTACTATGTGCCAACTGCTGTGCTGAATGTTGATGGCATAATTAGTAAGATATGGTCTTGCCCTTGTGGTATGACAAACACACAAACAGATCATTTCAATATAAAATAGCAATGATTCCACTCATTAATATTTATGGCACACCTATTATGTGCCAAGCACTGAAAACACAGCAGTATAGAAGGCATACATGATTCTTGGCGCACAGTAGGCAGTGTTTCTTAAAGTATATTCTGCATTAGAAATGATGATTGATCCTTATGTAGTGCCTCTGTTTACCATTTTTATGCTAATTGCTTAAATTAGAAGTTTTTGCTATTAATAGGCCACCCTTCTTTTGGCTACTATTTGTGTGTGAATTATTTTCCACATCTTCATATTTAATCTTTCTATCAGGTTTATTTTGGTTGTGTCTCTGACAGGTGAATTTAATCCACAGGCATTTACTGTGATTACTAATATTTTCTTCCATCAGATCTTGCGTTTTTCATTTACCATTATTTCTCCTTGCTTCTTTTGCTTCCATTCTTGGCTTCTATCGGATTAGCAAAGTGATCCATATTCCACTGCTGGTTTGAGAGCTTTGGGTTTTATTTCTATTCTTCTCAGAATCGTCTTTTATTTTTCAACATGCATACTTAATTCTGATTTTTTTCTAACAAAGTTAGTATGTAATTGTTTCTTCCCATGAAAGAACTTTGTATATTTTACTCATTTAACAGCCCCTTCCTTCCCATCTTGTTATTGCTGCCTAGAGTTTTATTTTTACTTTTCTGTGTTTGTTTGTTTGTTTGTTTAAGAGACAGGGTCTTCCTCTGTTACCCAGGCTGGAGTGTAGTGGCACAGTCATGGCTAACTGCAGCCTCAAACTCCTGGCCTCAAGTGACCCTCCCACCTCAGAATCCCAAGTAGCTAGGAACAGGTCCACACCACCACCCCCAGCTAATTTTTTCTTTTTCAAAAATGTTTTGTAGAGAGAGAATCTCACCATGTTGCCCAAGCTGGTCTCGAACTCCTGGCCTCAAGCAATCCTCCCGACTTGACCTCCCAAAGCTCAGGCATGTGTCACCGCATTCTATCTGTTTTTACTTCTTAAATTTAAAAATAGTTTTTATAGTTAAAAGTTAATTAACTTTACTGACATTTTATCAATTTTTCTGCTCACTATTTTTTTTTTCTTGATTCTGCAATGTTCCCTTTAGATTCACTTTTCTTCTGGCTGAAATCCATCCTTTAATAGTTCTTTCTGTAGGTGCCTTGGTATGGGAGGGAATTCATTGTTGGAAATGTCTTAATTTTGCCCTCACTGTTGTATGATAATTTATTTGGATATAAAATTCTAGTGAACAGTTATTTTCCCACATCACCTTAATGATAGCACTCCACTGTCTTCTGGCACTAAGTGTTGCTGGTTAAAAATTCTGCTGCCAATCTAATTTTCATTCCCTTGTAAATAAGCTGCCTTTTCCCCTTGATAACATTTCAGACTTGTTTTATTTATTTTTACTGTTCAGCAGGTTTTCTAGAACTGTCTTGGTGTTCGTTTATCTTTATCCTCTGCAAAAGTAGGAGGTACTATCTTTTGAGGATTATCATGTGCTTCTTTTTTTTCTTTTTCTTTTTTTTTTTTTGACATTGTCTCACTATGTCACCCAGGCTGGAGTGCAGTGGTGTGATCAAAGCTCACTGCAACCTTGACCTCGCATACTCAAGCTGGACTACAAGCATGAGCCACCATGCCCAGCTAATTAAAAAAAATTTTTTTTGTAGAGACAGGGTCTCACTATGTTGCCCAGGCTGATCTCAAACTCCTGAGCTCAAGCAATTCTCCTGCCTTGGCTTCCCAAAGTGCTGGGATTACAGGGGTGCATGTGCTTTCTTTAATTCTGGAAAATTATTACTGATTTTCTCTTGCAATATTGCTTCCTAGCCATTACCTCCATTATCTTTTCTGGCACTACCATTAGGAAAGTGAGGAAGCCTCACTATCTATATCCTGAGATGTTATTTTTTTAAAAAGATTTTGTCTTTGTGTTGCATCCTGGTGAATTCCTTGCCTTCCAATTTGCCAGTCGTCTAAATAATTTGTCCAGTCCAGAGTTTTTCCCATCTATTAAGTTTTTTGAATTTCAATAATTACATTTTTTATTTCTAAGATTGCGCTTCCTATTTTCTTTCTGCCTAATTTTAACAGTTTTTAAAATTTTTACAGCTTTATTGAGATATAATTTACATACCATAAAATTCACCTGTTTTAAGTGTTCAGTTCAACATTGTCTTAGTCATTGAGCCATAACCATAATCCAGTTTTAGGGACATTTTCATCACCCCAAAGAAATCTTCCCTTGTGGACATTTGTAGTCAGTTCCTGTTCCCACCACCAGCCCCAGGCAACCATTCATCTACTTCCTATCTCTTTAAATTATCTCTAAATGAAACCATATAATATATTATTCTTTCCATCTAATTATTTTAGGTTCATCCACATTGTAACATGTATCATTAATTCATTCCTTTTTATTACTCACTTATTTATCTTGTTGTGTGGGTAGGCCATGTTTTATTTATCCATTCACCAGTTGATGGACATTTGAGTTTCTACTTTTTGGCTTTTGTGAATAATGCTGCTATGAACATTACATTCATGTGCAAGTCTTTATGTGTTCTTGGGTAGGTACCTAGGAGCGGAATTGTTAAGTTGTATGATAACTTTTAATTTTTTGAGAAACTGCCAAATTGTTTTACGAAGTGACTGTACCACCATACATTCTCCAGCCTACTTCTTCAGCACAATCTCCTAGTACTGCACCCAGTTCTCAGGTCAAAGTGAAGTACGATTCTTTCCTTACTCCACTGTGCACTCACCCAGTTTTTCTCTTGAAGTTTCCTCTCCTGAAATGTCTTCAACTCTAAAAGTAAAATCCTGCTTATGTTTTGAGCCCCACCTCCTCTAAGAAAAATCTTTTAAAAACCTTACTTTTGTGATTAAGAATGTATTAATTGGCCAGGCACCGTGCCTCATGCCTGTAATCCCAGCATTTTGGGAGGCCGAGTCTGGTGGATTACCTAAGGTCAGGAGTTTGAGACTAGCCTGACCAACATGGAGAAACCTCGTCTCTACTAAAAATACGAAAAAAATTAGTTGGGCGTGGTGGTGCATGCCTGTAATCCCAGCTACTCAGGAGGCTGAGGCAGGAGAATCGCTCGAACTGTGGAGGTGGAGGTTGTGGTGAGCCAAGATTGCGCCATTGCTGCCCAGCCTGTGCAACAAGAGCGAAACTCTGTCTCAAAAAAAAAGAATGTGTACATTAATTTTTAACTGTGTATTAAGTGCATTTACATATCCAACTATTTCTCCAGCAGTTTGTACAATGTCTGACACATAGTAGATCCTCAGTAAGCTTGTTCAATTTAATTATCGTTTCCTCCCATAGGTTTGTTAATATTTCTTTCATGATACTCATCCCTCTGATATTATAGTTGACTTGTGGATAGTATGT